TGGATTTTTTAATCTCTCTTTTTCTCAGCTTCCTCTTTTTCCATAATTTTATCTTCTAATTCACCTATTCTCTCCTCTGCCTCTTCAATCCATGCTATGGCCGCCTCCATTTTATTTTGCACCCTATTTATAGCATTTTTTAATTCCTCGTGACTATTTTTTAGTCCCTTGATCTCTGTAGCAATAGATTCTCTGCTGTCCTCTATGCTTTTTTAAGCCTAGTGATTAATTTTATGACTATTATTCTAAATTCTTGTTCCGTTATATTGTTTAAATCAGTTTTGATCAATTCATTAACTGTCACTACTTCCTGGAGTTTCTTTTGAAGAGAATTCTTCCATTTCGTCATTTTGGGTAGTCCCTATGGTAGCTCCAAACTGCAAGGCACTTCCCCTGTGCTGTCCGGAGAAACTTGTGTTGGTGGGCGGGGCTACAGTCAGACTCCATGTCTGCCCCCAGATCACCACTGGGGCCACAGGCAGACTGGTGTGTACCTTATCTTCCCCTCTCCCAGGGGCAGGACTCACTGTGGAGTGGTGTAGCCCCTGTCTGGGCTGCTTGGACACTGCCAGGCTTGTGGTGCTGCTTCAATGGGATCTGGCCAAGGGCATATTAGCCGGGGTGGATCCTCAAGGTGCACAGGGGTGGGAGGGGTAGGCTTAGCTAGTTTTGCCATCACTGGTCCCCTGGGGGAGGGGCCCTGCAGCACCGGGAGGGAGGCAGGCCCGTGGGACAGATGGATCCACAGAAGCATAGCATTGGGCATTTGCACATCGCAAGCAAGTTTGGTGAGGGGAACTGGTTCCCTTTGGAATTTTGGCTGGGGGATGGGAGAGGGAGATGGTGCTTGCCAGCGCCTTTGTTCCCTGCTGAGCTGAGCTCTGTCCTTTCGGGGCTCAAAAACTCTCCCTCCCGGTGTCCTCTCCCCCTCCCTGCTCTCCGAGAGCAGAGCTGTTGACTTTTAACATTCCAGATGTTAAGTCCCACTGGCTGTCATTACTCACTCAGTCTGGTCCCTTCGCTTCTGCAAGTCAGACTCGGGGGCTCTGCCTTGCCAGGTGGGCTGCCTCTCTACTGCCCCAGCTCCCTCCCGCCAGTCCGTGTAGCACGCACCACCTCTCCACCATTCCTACCATCTTCTGTGGGCCTCTTGTCTACGCTTGGCTCCAGAGAGTCTGTTCTGCTAGTCTTCCAGTGGTTTTCTGGATTATTCAGGCAGATGTGGGTGGAATCTAAGCAATCAGCAGGAGGAGGCGAGTCCAGCATCCTCCTATGCTGCCATCTTCCTTGAACTCTGCTGCTTTCTTGCTGCCTCTGGAGGTGGTGGATAAGCGGTTCCTGGATTTTGGATCATAGCTCCAAATCTTTGGCATTATGCGTTTTCAGACTTTATATGAGCTTCTCCCTACCTGCCCCTACCTCCAGCCTCCTCCCCCACCTCCCCCCTCCAGAAACTAGCCGGAGTGGGACTGGGTCTGGGGTGGAAAGGGTCTGACTTAGAAAACAGTACTAAATCCAAAATAAGGCTGGGCATACCTTCAAAACCAGACTGGGTCCAGGGTCAGACCGGGTCAATCTTAGAAACACGATTGGGACCAGGAGGAACTAGGTCCAGAATGAAATTGTTTTTGAAGACTTTCTTCCTGTATTCTGGAAGAGTTTAAATAACATTGAGATTATCCTCTTTTTAAAGGGTTAGTGATTTCCTCTGAGACACCATCTGGATTGACTGATTTTTTGACTAACTTTGTCTTTAACAGTCTTGTTTATTTCTGTAAACAGGAAATCAGACTCTGTAGTTTTTTCAAAATCTCCTTTCTTGTCAGCATTGGTAACTTATATTTTCCTAGAAAGTTATGTCCTCCAGGTTCTCAAATATATTTACATGTGTTGAGAAATTTAGTTTTATGATACTCTTAATTCTGTTTTCTAAGGTCATTTCACTGTTACCTTTTTTTACTTTTAAATGTTTGTTATCTCCTTTATTTTGTTTTGATAGCAATCTAAGTATATTTTTTTACATCTGGTTTTCCTTTTTTTTTGGGGGGTGAACCCTGTTTTAGAATTATTTTCCATGTTTCATTATTTTCTCAATCATTAATCTCTTCTTGTAATTTTATTAGTTTTTTTTTTCCTGCTGCTTCTTTGTAAATGCTTGAGTCAGATAATTCTTGTTTTCATTATTTCTTGTAAATTCATGTCTGTAGTGAAGGTTATTTGTTTTCCTTGAGATCACTACTTTAGCATTCTTATAAGAATTAAATATATATATAGCAAAAAGAGTACTAAAATGTGATTCAGGACACAGAGGTCCCAACCCTAATTCTCTTTTTGTATATCACCGTCTCTGCCAGTATCATCCTGGGCATGTCACTGAGACTTCCTGCTTGGGTTTCAGTTTCCTCAACTAGAAAATAAAGAAATATTTGATGATCTCAAAAGTTCTATTTTGCTGCCTAGTTTACTGAAATATATTCGTATCACCAGCTTGGAACTCTAAGAATTTGAACTGAGTCTACAAAATGGGCTCTAGACTCAAATGTTTTAAATAACGATATACTAGTTAGTCTCTGAACTGTAGTTTCCTGTGTAGTCACAAAAGACAAGCTTCTAATTGTTCTTTGGCTATAAGACGGGAGTCTAAGCTTCAGGCAAATGTAGATCTCTATAAGTATTCCTTACTAACTTAGCATATTTTGTCATAATTAATCAACTGTTGAAAGTTATGTAAAGTTCATGGGGCAGTGTTTTTCCAAATCCTTTGAAATTCTTGAAACAAACAAATACCTGATTGTTGGTGAGGAAAAAGTTAAGCAGCATGCAGCTCTTTTTATGGGTTAAGATTGAAGGCAAAAAGTAACAACAGATATTGTGTCAGAGTAAAACTGTAAACAAGAAGAGATTCTAAGGTCTGGAAGTTATAAAACAAATGTGTAATAATGACAACATTCTTAAACATTAACAGATTCTGCATCTAAACTTTCTTTAAAAAATATAAAGCAAAAACAAGGAAAAGTTTATTTACAGATAATAACAAATAAATGTTAGAAAACGGGAGCCAGATTTTCACAAAATCTTATCTATGCTACATAAAATTCACATATGTAACTTGTCATAGTTAAAAACCTAGGTAGTAACTGTAAAAAAAAAATCACTGTCCTTTGTGGACAAATTAAAGCTACCATAGCAAAATAAAATATCTGAAGTTTTGAATTTGCCATCCTGTGTGTTTAAGCATTGACATGAATACAATGCATTTTTTTTTAGCTATGAATGTAAAAAATACCAAAAGGGAAATTAGGAGGGAAAATGAACAAAATATCCTTCATTTACATATATTTTCTGAAGCCATTTTAAGTCTTCTATTTAGAAAATGTTATTATATAACAATGGCAGTCATTGCCACTGTATATATCCCTATGTGTTCTAAATAAGTTGTTTCTGAGTAGTTTTTCTCCACATGTCACCACATTTCTAACTATAGGAATGTAATTCTGTAGCCTTAAAAATTGCATTGATTTTTAGATGCACATAAGGAGAGCAGAATAAGTAACAATGCTAAAAAAAAAAAAAAAAGAATAAACGTATTGTTTTATTTACCTCTCAAGAAAAGAGAAAGAAAAGTCACATGCCCCATTTTGTTTAAAGATTCATAGTGCAGCATAGTTTCCTTTTCTTTATAATAAATATTTAAAATATATGTAATATTAAACAGTTCACCAAATTGAAAATGTTATGTGAGAATATGGGACGATGGTTTGGAAGTATAAAGACATCTACTGTCACACAGTGTTTTGTGTTTTTTGTTCATAAATCAGTACTGGAAGCATACAAGCCAATGGGAGTGCGGGCTCGACAGATTTCTGAAATGCCGGCCGAAATGAGAGACCATTGCTTTTCAGAGTGTCAAAGTAGACTTAAAAATATAATTAATACAATATAGTGCTGGATATGGTATGAAAGACAATGCATGTGTATTCACTTTGGCTAGACTCTGATTTAAATGTAGAATTTACATTTTGTCCTTTATAAAGCTTAGTTGAGTTAATAGTATTTCTTCCATTTTCCTCTCCTCTAAAGTGGGAATAATGATGCTTGCTTGCTAGCGTTGTAATGAATCCAAGTGAGGTGGTATATATAATAGCATAGGCACATGGTAAGCTTTTAAATATTAAATTCCTATCACCTTCAAAGTGGTCATCTTTTTTAATGAACCACTGTTTAAAAACAAAGAAATTAATGTAAAGAATAAACTATGAGCATGCACATCAAAATAAGGAAAAATATTCCCTAAAGGTGAATGGAAGTAAAGTAGACTATTAACATGGAAACTGAAGTGAATCCAGAAAACATTTGAAATCCTTCTGATCTGGACAGAGCAAAATCAAGTACAACAACAGAGTCCTGGACAAACAATACAGTAGGTTTGTTTATTTGTTAAAAGTAAATTTCTAATTATGTTGTATATGTTGTTTCAGAGGCAAAGGCCCATTGAAAAATACATCTGATGTTATTAATGCTGCCAAGAAAATTGCTGAAGCAGGTTCTCGAATGGACAAGTTAGCCCGCGCTGTGGCTGATCAGGTAATACAGGAGGGAAGAGTAAGCACATGCTGTGTGGTACCATTAATTAGCACTTGGGTTCTATAATGGTTTTTATGTACTCTATAAAATGCTTCTGAAGGATGAATTGTAATCACTTACGTTTTTCAAACTGGACTCGAACTTTGCTGAGACTGAGTTCATTGCAAAGTGGGTTCAGTCCAGGAGCGACTCATCAGGCCTATGACCAAAACTCCTTCAGAACGAAGAGTACCCACTACTTAAGAGACATAACCCCCCAAAGAATGGATTATGCTGGCTACCCTCATTCAGCAAGTCAGCTACACTGCATAAAGAGGAAGAGAAAGAACTTTTAACTCTTGTTATTTAATATTGATCTTACTATAATGATACTCTTGAAAATTCTTAAAATGCTTTGGCATAAATGGAATTAATCCACATAATCAGGAACCTCCAGATTTCAGCTTTATTTTCATCTGGATTTAAAGGCATTACAGAGAAAGGAAATTCTGAGAGAATCTTTTGTGCCTTCCGACCGAAGTTAGATACATGAAAGTAGTTCTGAATCTCACCTGAGTATTTGTGTTTATCTCCACACTTTGCATGTCATGTGGCTTAAATTGGAACTCTAAAATCCTGTTCTAAATATGTCTAGTTGCAATAATGTTCCATTCCTTATAAGGGTACTTTAAACAGTAGACTTGTACAGGTAACTAATTCTTACCCTTTTGAATAACAGTGGTTTATAGTTTGAGCTATTTTAAAAGGAAAAATGTCTTAAAATATAAAATAAGATTCTGAAATAGAAAATATTACATAAGCTGTTACTTACATGGACACAACATTATAAGCATGAAATCGCTTACTAGACTCCAATATAGTGATGCTGTCTGGAGACACTGACATAGGATTGTTCCTCCTTCTTAATGGCCCTAGTCTCCTATAATTTTTGAGTTGCTTATTATAATTTTCTTTTTTTTTTTTTTTTAATTTTTTTTTCAATGTTTATTTATTTTTGGGACAGAGAGAGACAGAGCATGAATGGGGGAGGGGCAGAGAGAGAGGGAGACACAGAATCGGAAACAGGCTCCAGGCTCCGAGCCATCAGCCCAGAGCCTGACGTGGGGCTCGAACTCACGGACCGCGAGATCGTGACCTGGCTGAAGTCGGACGCTTAACCGACTGCGCCACCCAGGCGCCCCGCTTATTATAATTTTCTTCCTTCATTCCTTAATGTTTGGCTCTTCCCCTAAATACTTGCCGTCTTCAACATCCCAGATTCTAGAATCCCTCAGAAGTCAATACCAAATCCACTCGTCTTGTAAATACTGAAAACACATGATTAAATCATTAAGATTACATTTAAAATATGCCAGCAGATTGTCTCATTTTAATTTTTTTACATATATGATGGCTAAAGATAATTCATTAAATATTACCACCATTTGACTATCCCCTAAAATTTGTATGGGTTGAAGACCAAACCACCACTAAGTTGCTAATTTCAGGGACATATCAACTGCCAGGCTTCCTGCAGTTTGCAGGATAAATTGAACTGATCTATACAGAGTTCTGTATGTATCCCAGAAAGTTTATGGAAAAGAGAGGAGAGATAATGAATGTTCTTGGAAATATGCACGCATGTATGCAAACAAACAAAAATGCACCAGCCAGGAAAGAATGCCACATTTTTTCCCTGAAAATGTTCAGGGCACTTGGGATGAGTGGAGTGAGAAGAGATTGGTAGAGGTTCTAAAAAGAGTTTTGTGAAGAATGACTTCTTTCCTGAAGTGAAAGTAGATGGAGTTTGGATGGCTTCTCCACTAAACTCTGAATCTAAATTGCTTTAAACTATTTTTTAGTATGTTTAGGTTCCTTGAGTTCTTGTTTTTTGCTTTCACATTTTAGGACCTTTATTTCCAGCAATTATGCAACTTGAATCATAGTACCAGGCAGCGGGACTATGGAAATAGAATTAACTATGGACTTGATGTATGGAAAGCACATCACACATGCACACACACAAATCCCAAGATTCTAGATGTATTTTGCAATTAAATAACAAAGTATTTAGCAGCGCCTGGGTGGCTCAGTTGGTTAAGTGTCTGAGTCTTGATTTCAGCTCAGGTCATGATCGCGGTTGGTGAGATTGAGCACCACTGTGGGCTCTACACCGACAGCATGAAGCCTGCTTTGGATTTTCTTTCTCTCCTTCTCTCTCTGCCCCTCCCTGGCTTATTCTCTCTCTCTCTCAAAATAAATAAACATTTAAAAAATAAAAACAAAAATTAAACAAGAAATTAAATGACAAAATATGTAAATGCTATTCTATGATGACTTAAAATAAACACAAGAGTTGGTTAAATATAACCCTCTCTTGGTGGCATGTGCACTGTCATCAGCTATGAAGCAACTTGCAGTTTTTGCTAATGCTTTGTCTGAATAGGACATATCTTTCTCAAACTCACCTATTTTCATGATATATGAATTATATTTCTTGGTCCATCATGCTTTTATGTGTGTTTTAAATAATGGAATAGGATGAACATTACCAAAAAGTGGATGTGTTGCCTTTATTTTGCCTGAAAATATTTTTATGAAGATTTGAGATACACAAGCAATATAAACTTTTTACGGATTGTTGCATTTTTAATTACTGTTCCATTGAGATAGAACTTCGAGTTTAATTTGTTGCAAGGTATTTGTATCGAAAGCCTTGTCAGCCCTCAAGGGAGATATCATTTTAAAGTTAATTCCTTTCAGTATATAGGTCTCTGGAGTAGGATAAATATTACAGTATTAAGTACTTGTAGAAAGCTAAAACAGTCTCTGTGGGATTCTTTCTTGATAAATGCAGTTAGTAAAAGAAAGTACCACAATGGTGTTATATATAAAAGAGACCCCTTTGTCATTTGTTAAAGATATGGTTATGTCAAAACCACAGGATTCACAGTATTAATGAAAGGTTTGCCTTTTTTTTTTTTTTTTTTTTTTTTTTTTTTTTTTTTTTTTTTTTTTTTTTTTTTTTTTTTTTTTTTTTAAGAATTGCCTTTCTTAAGCTTGAAGAAAACCTAGCTGGAGTCTTTTTCTCATAACTTTTTTTTTTTTGAGATAGAGAAACAGTGAGCGGGTGAGGAGCAGAGGGAAAGGGAGAATTTTAAGCAGGCTCCATGCCCAGTGAGGAGCCCAACTTGGGGGTCGATCTCACAGTCATGAGATCATGAACCAGCTATAATCAAGAGCCAGAAACTTAACTGACCAAGCCACCCAGGCACCCCTCTCATTCGCTTATTCTAAATAAGTCACTTCAGATTTAGCTATAGATCTTTATTTCTTACAGTGTTTGATCAAAAATTTGGTGAGTATACATCCTTTACAAGTGCTAATTTGAGCCAGAACAATGGAATGGCCTACAGAATCTTGAACTGAACTTTTGATAGTAATAGAAATATATTCCAGTTATTGAATAACCATTGGTATTGAAGCATTAAATGCTTTAGAGAGTCATGTAAATATCTGTGGAAGTGTTCAGCTAAGCTCACTGTGTATTTGATGGATATCTACCCACTAAGTCTCAGACAGAATCCAAAATTCCTGGTTCTAGTTGACTCTGGTATAACCTTTGAAGAGCTCTGTTTTTACTCTTATGTGTTTGTTTCAGTTGGCTTCAAACTCTACTTAAATCTCTTTCTCTAACAGTGGTTATGATCCTTCTCAGAATGTCTTATTTAATGTTGCTAAATTTTTGATAAATACAAAAATCCAAAAAGTGTAATAGACTTCCTTTAGTGAATGATACTTTTCTGAGAAAGCCAAAGGAAACAAATGGTTTTTTCACCCAACCAAATGAATTGAAATTCTATCTTATGCTGTGTCAGAGAGATTTCTATGCAGAGCGATTTCTTTCTAGCCTCTGTTGCTTTGGTTGTCCATATTAAAATAACTACACATAGTGAATGTTGAGTGGGCCACTAAGAAAAAAACCTGTAGAATATTTGGTTTTCTTAACAGTTTAGAAGACAACTGGTAAAATTACTCATAAACATGTACAGAAGTTCCAGTAAGACTTTCTGGAAGATCCTCAATATTCTGTTTAGAGAATTGTATCAAAGTACAGCTGACCATTGTAAACTACTGACTGTGGCTTTCATAAAATGTGCTATCAAGAAATTAAATGGATGTGATTAATATTTATGACACTAAAACCTTTTCTTCTCACAGCTTTTATATAGCAAGTGTTAGAAACTGAAGAGTACTTACTAATTGAGATCACTTTTTTTTTTGATGTTTTATAGTGTCCTGATTCAGCATGTAAGCAGGATTTATTAGCCTACCTTCAACGAATTGCTTTGTATTGCCATCAGCTTAATATCTGCAGCAAGGTGAAGGCAGAAGTTCAGAATCTAGGAGGAGAGCTCATTGTGTCAGGGGTAAGCTGGGAGTTGGGCTTCACAATTAAAGTTCCCACTGTTGTGCTTCCAAGGCAAGCATTCTTGGCAACAGTACTGCTAAAAACACCAAACTACAGTGATTCATAGGGAGTTTTTTTTTTTTTAAATAAATGTTATCACCATTATTCCAGACCTTACAATAACTCACAAAGAGCAATTTGATTTTCCAATTACCCCATGTTTATACTAGCCTTGTAAAATCTCCATTCTTCACAAGAAAACTAATTTTGTAGTCTGGAAACTCATTGCCAAGCTTTGACTATTATAATTATTTGGAGCTTTTGTACATTTACTCATTGTGAGTCTACTTCCCTTTGTTAGTCCTAGTAATTTTCACTCTCTGTTCAGGAGCCAGCCTCTCTATGTGTGGATTGTGTTCACATGTTAGAGATGATGAAAACAATAGGAATTCATTCATCAGGTTCCAATGCATACTAGGTTATCAGTAACCCTTGAAAGCCAGAAAATATTCAAATTTAATACAGGTTGATGTGCTGTTGCCAAAAACTAACATAGTTGTCAAACACTAACAATTATGTCTTCTTTGCTTAATCACTCTGGTGTTTCCCTTAGTATCTGGTCCATTTTCATCAAATATAGAGAAATAAGTTTGATTAATAGAAGAATTATGATTTCTTGGCAAGATTTCCAAATGTATGTGTTGAGGTTCTTCACCTTGGCTTCTCCTCCCTCTGTCCCCTTCTTTGAACACGAGGTGCCATCTATTGTAAACTATATGCAAATTCCAAAGTGTGGCTCTGCCACCTTTAGTTCTTTTCCCAGTCAACGATGATGCTGCCATTTTAAGTGTGACATTACTGGGAACATCACATTATCAACGTGGTGAATGCCTTTTGAAAATCAGACGAGTCATGAAGCTCAATTCTCAATTTTCAGAAATTCCACAGACCATTTGATAAAAATATATGGAAAAATCATTCTTCAACGGTTTCAGGTTCTGTATTATTTGGGTGGCAGAAAACAGCTGGGAAAAGAGCTGATCTGGCTTGCATGGAGATGCCATCTGGAAAGCCTGTTCCATGCAGTTTCACCTAGAGTCCGATAAATTGGCTATTTTGTGCCTCTTCCCAAAGCATAGTCACCTCTTTGCATTTCCAAAATGATCCTGCTTCAACATTCTTCAACAACCAAGAGCAATCTGTCTTGCAATGTGTCCTTTCTGCCGAGTTGGTAATTACCCAGTTTCTCTCTGCCAAGAAGTGATCAAAACATTGCATATCCCTTGCTTCTTTTCTTATCTTCAGACTCGATGGTATAGTTTCCCATACCATTCGGCTTTCATGTCCATCTGTATATAGCACCTGTGGAACTGAGTGCTTTTTGTTTAGCTTGCCTTGTGTGCTTTCATTTGTCACTTTCCAAATCTTATTATTTACATGGATGCACAAAGCATCTTTGTGGATCTCAGAGTCCACAACCTCATTTAGGTGATATTTTACTGGCAGAGCTGTTCTCCATTATCCTCTCAGTACCCATTGTTCATCACTGCTTCCCGAGCATCATTTCCATTGTCTTTTCCTCATTTAGATGTAGTCCAAACCATCACTGGCTTTTATCACTTGCACTGTTGGCATTTGTAGAGGTGTTTGAGATTGAGAACACCATCAAGAAGCCTGTTTCCTTCTTTGAGTCTTATTGGCAAAGTTCATAAATCCTTGCATGGGAGAAGGCTTCTTTTTGAGGAATGTTATATAACTTTATATTAGTTTTGAGTCAAATGCATTATAAAGGTTTGCTATATATTGCTCAGTTATGGACCTGCTCTTGGCCTCCTCATTTTTTCAAAGCTTGATTGCTATTTGGTGCCATACCTGCATCTGTAGTCTGCTGTCTTTGCCACTTCTGCATCCATCTTATTCTTCATCCTCCTTCACTGATGGCTAATGGAGAAAAAATACCAATGTGTTTCTTTTGCAAAATAGCCACAAATGACTGCCTTCAAAGTTCTGAAAGAGTCAAGAATGTAAGACCCCCATACACACAAACTTTCAATGATTTTGCCAAGAAAATGTGTCCATGCCTAGGGCCCCATTTATTTTGTTGTCTGGCATGACAAAGTTGCTACATTTTTAGGGATAAACTACTATAGTATTATATATGAGAGAGAGAGAGAGAGAGAGAGAGAGAGAGAGAGAGAAATGCTTAAATAATGGGATTCAAGGCTGTAGCTTCTTTTCTGAAATAGAGGAAAGCTCCCAGGAAGGTATATTTGTTAGTAGTCAAAATTTCCCCTAAAATAAGAGATTTGGATAGCTTATTTCCATTTTTCCAAGAGAAATGACTTAAATCTCAAAGCTGAGAGCTGTGTTTTTAGAGCCGTGAGCTAGCATGATGAACAGAATGCACATGTGCACAGTTATGTATCATGTCAGCATGTGTATGTTTTATGTGATTCTGTGTGTACTAACTGGGAAAGGCTTCTTCTGTTGTATCTGCCTTTGGCTTGAGAGGTGGGGCAGGAAAACTCAACAGGTCATAGGCTGGGGACAATGGATGCAAAAGTTCTTCTTGTGACACGATGGGGAGTTGGAGAAATAACACAATCCTGGATATATGCTTACATGTGCTCAATCATACAATTGCTGTCTAAGAAGCACTACTAATTTTCTGTCTGGAGATATGTTTTTAAAAGTTATTGGCTTAAATCCTTCTCAACAGGCAAAAGGTGCCATTCCTACTAAATCTCAAAGTAGAAGATGCATTTGTGAGCCAATTTAGCTTACGCCATTTGTGTGGTTGCTAAGGAGGTCAATGGGGAAGAGAAAATCTAAAAAAACAAAAAAACAAAAAAACAAAAACAAAAACAAAAAACAACAAAAACCCCCCCAAAACTAACAGTGACAGAAATGTTAAAGTGAAAGTAGAAGAAACTGAAGTCCAGAATATTAAACATCCATTAGTTTATAAATTGGCTTTATTGGCTTGGTGTTTGTTTATTTAATCTCTTAGGTCAGTTTACATGCTTTTTGGAAAAAGGAATGTTGAAAGAAGAGGAAGAAATGAGAGTAGGATAGGAGAGAAGAGGCATGAAAGAAGAAAAAAAAAAGAAATTTAACCATAGCGTATCGTAAATTATTTTAGTGAAGGTAATATCCCTTAAGTGTGATAGCATTATATTCATCATGGCAGAAAAATTGAGCAAATTTTTTTCCAAGTATGTAAATATATTTTGCATACAAGTAAATTCCAAAGCTGTGATACGGATATTACTTGTATATTTGATGGTTGTGTTTTTAATTAATTTTTATTTACTAGGTTTCAGAGGATTTAATGGATTCTTTTAAATGTAAAAATGAAGATGTACACATGGATCTGAAGACATAAAAATCATTCTAAATAACCTTTGATTATTTTTACCCTAACATTTGTACTTCGTGGATTTTTCTGAATGAGACTGGAAACAGTAAGGTGGAATTTAAGAATGTAGAATGCTGAACATCAAACATTCTGATAAATCTGAGAAATTGCGCCTTACTATTATTATTGTTATTATTACTATTATTATTATTATTATTATTATTTGAAGTTCAACTACATCAAGAGTCTCATTATAACAATGAAGTCAGAACAAAAGAGCAATAACCCTACCCCGGACAGGAATTCACTGTTTAGGTCAGAGACAGAAGGACACAAATTGTAACTTATAGTTGACCCCACATAAAATGCTACAAATTTTGAAAGATTTTATTGCATTTAAATGTCTTTTTTTTTTCATATTAACAAAATATAGGAGCAGAGTTTTGAGGTGGGGATATTAGTTTCCTCAGACTGACTGAATGGAGCCCTGCCCTATTCCTGAGGAATGGAGTAACCTGCCCTAATGTGCACTTTTGTTCTTTGCCACTTAAATCTCTCCTTTCCAAATTTAAATCTCTCTCAATTGGGTTGTGGAGAGAAGCTTGACAAGGTGAGAAAATATAATTTGTGATGCTGGTAGGATTTGAATTGTTAAAGAAAAATATTAGAGAATAAGGGGTCAATTACAGTCCTTATTGCCTGTTTCACGTCATTAAAAAAAATTGGACTCAAAATCAACATGAATGTTCATGGTAATAAATGAAAACCATTAATACACTACTAGAAACTGATAATGGCCAAATCAATCCTACCTGACTATGGCATATAACCAAAGATACATATGTGCATGTGCACAAACATGCACATACAACAAATACACATGATTTGATATTTACTCTATTATCCTCAAATAAGCAGTAATCAGGAACTGAACAAGTGGTTGACAACTGTGACATATCTGATCCAAGAAAATTTAGGGAAAAGAAAATGTGGGAATTATTTGTACAGTGCTATATGTATTATATCTTTTAAAATATATATTTTATACACTTATATTACATATATTTAAAATATATTTTTAAAATGTGATTTGTTGAGATGAGAATTGCATTTTATTTGAAAAGTCCTATATTTCCTCTATAAAAATAGTGTTAGTATTTTGTAATGATACGAAGCAGTCATTGGAATTAGCATTGTACCTACTTATGTAACCTTGTACTTTAAGCAACACTTTTTTGGGGAAAGAGTTTTTTATATATATATTCTGATTCTGTTTATTGTCAATTCTTGATCTCCACTGATCAGAGTGTAGTAGTAATGGAAACAAATCTAAATTGCTATTTCAATTTGGATTTGAAATACATTTCTCTGCTTCACTTGAACAAAAGGGTATGTGTTCAGGAAATTAACTGCAGTTACAAAGAATTTTCTCCAGATTTTTCAGAGGGTAGGCCATTAAGTATTTGGGCTTAACAGACTTTCCTGAGCTATGCAACAGTAGGAGAGGCCAGATCTAGAGACAGTAAGATTAAAACAAACTTTAGATTATAAATCTGGATGGAAAGATGGTGGAAATATTCTGTAACACTAAGAAAATTAAACAAGTACTTATCATTGGCAGAATGGCCATAGTTCTTTGCATATACTTTATTACTAAGATG